TCCTGAACACATGCCACACTATGATTACGAGTTGTTCCGAGAAGAAATTTCGCGTGTATACCAGGTACTCGGTGCTGGCGTGGCTGTTCAAGTCCAAGACGAAGACGATAGATGGGAGGTGCCTCAAGTGGGCGGTCAACCTGTCCCCCTGGGACCTGGATATCCGGCGAGTCGAGAACGATGAAGATGGCCTGGCAGCGATCCTGGGAGCGGGCATCACTCCCCGGGAACGCCTCGACGAAGTCGGCGAGACCTTAGTTCCGGACAAGGGTTCCCGGATCAAGACACCCCCAGTCAGCCTGGAAATGCTCTCTAGTGACCACATCGGACATCTGCTGAGCTTCGACGGAGCTGCCAAGAGAGATGGGTCCGGTGGCGCCGCGTGCATCCTCTGGAGCCTCCCGAGTTGGGAGATTGTGGCGGCCACGGGAAATCTCCTGTAGAAGGCTACCGTGAATGAAGCCGAATATTCCGGATTAGTCAAGGGCATGCAACTTGCCCTAAACGCGGGGATCCAGGAACTGGTAGTAGTTGGAGACTCCCGGTTAGCAATACAGCAGCTCCAGGGGGTTATCGGTTGTACCCAACCCCACCTGTTGAGGCTGCTCCAGGAAGCCGAAGGACTCCAAGCTAAGTTCAAATTCTTGCGCCTGGTACACGTGAAGAGAGACTTCAACGCCGCCGCCGACTACATTTCCAAACGGGTCATCCAAGAGCAGTCATCATTAGAAGTCACAGACCTCGGGGAACGGAAGTTGCTCCAAGGCCTGAACCGGATCCACGAAAAACTGGTTAAGGGCCCGAGTCCCCGAGAGCAGTCGCTGGTAGAGTGCGCATTCATAGCCACAGCCCGGAGCATACCTAGGCGCGCCCCGGAGGGTGAAGCATTCCTGACGACGCGCTCAGCGTCCGAGCAAAGCAATGCCGCTGAAGAATCGACCCCAGAATCCGGAACTGACCACTTAGAATCTGTCGACCCCGGGGCCGACGAGCTGGGAACCGAAGGCGCGGAAGACGGGCCGACAGTCGGTCCCCGAAACCCCGACTCCCAGGACTCCGAAGAAGACCGTGAGGACGCCCGTAGGGAACGATGGAGGAGGATCTGTTCCCACCAGGCGCACGACCCAGGCCTAGCACCCCTAGCAAGTTTCCTCCGAGGCGAGACAGAACAGTTGTCCCTGAGGTAGACCACACACCTGGCCAAGATAGCGGACCAGTTTGTACTGGACTCCCGGGACGCGTTGTTCTATGTGAGTCGAAACACTCCGGAACGCCCCCGGGACGCTGCCGATCGTCTCCGTCTGGTGGTCCCCTAAGACCTCCAAGA